TTTGGGTTATTTTTGGTTTTCGTATTTAATTTCCTATTTTTCACATTTTTTGATTCACAGGTATTGAGTTTTTTTTTTTTATGTAGCGCAGCATTTTTTCCTCGCTTTTATTCTTATTATTTGCCCCACTGAGACATGGGTTGTGTCCACTAGCAGCTACAGTATATATATGTGTATATATATATATATATATAGAGAGAGAGAGAGAGAGAGAGAGAGAGAGAGAGAGAGAGAGAGAGAGAGAGAGAGAGAGAGAGAGAGAGAGAGAGAGAGAGAGAGAGAGAGAGGTGTGTATATATATATATATATAGAGAGAGAGAGAGAGAGAGGTGTGTATATATATATATATAGAGAGAGAGAGAGAGGTGTGTATATATATATATATATATATATAGAGAGAGAGAGAGAGAGAGAGAGAGGTGTGTATATATATATATATATATATATAGAGAGAGAGAGAGAGTGTGTATGAGAGAGAGAGAGAGAGGTGTGTATATATATATATATATAGAGAGAGAGAGAGAGAGAGGTGTGTATATATATATATATATATAGAGAGAGAGAGAGAGAGGTGTGTATATATATATATATATATAGAGAGAGAGAGAGAGAGAGAGAGAGAGAGAGAGAGAGAGGTGTGTGTATGTGTGTGTGTATTTTTTGCTTTTATTATGCACCATAATAAGCGCATGAGTTATTTAATTTATACAGAAAAAGAAAATATTTTAAATGCTTACTAGCAGCGTCTTTCATTTTTGTATTTTTTTTTCCCACTTGTAAAGTGCCTTTGAACTTAGTAGACAATTTGACTAGACCAGGAGAAGTCAATTTCCTAGCACACCTCCTGTGACAGTTCTAGATCTCTACTCATCTGGGAGTGCCTAATTACTGTCTGTGCTGGCCCAGCTCATCCATTCTTTCCCTCATGTTCCAACAAATCTTTTAAGTAGCTGCTAAAAAAAAATGCAGAGGAATACTTGTAGAGCAGCCTTTCCCAAGCTTTTTATGCCAGAGGGAACCCTAAAATAATTTTTAGTTTTTGGGGAACCCTTACTAAGTCTAATTCATCAGGAGTCAATGGGGGGGGGGGAAGCCTCTTACATCAGTGGTCAGGAGGAAGAATGCAACCTTTCTGCAGTGGTCGAAATACCATCCTTAGAGACCGCTAAACAAAGATAATTGGTGTCATGCTGCTGGCTCTGTCTAATGGAACTATGGAGGTGCCATCAAATAGGAGGTCAATCAGCTACAGCTCAAGGAATACCTGGCAACCTCTGGAGGATTTCATCATGTGACGTAATATGCAAAACCAATCAATAACGTGCATAATTTAAAAGAATCTATATGTATGTACAGTACAGGAAGGTTCCCATTTATCCAGCTCATGGTATATCTAGTAGTAGTTCGTTACATTCAACTGGACTTCTGTAATGTTGAAGACATTTCACGGCTTATCCAAGGAACTTGTTCAGAACTGAAGAAGTGATTTGGATAAGCTGAGAAATGTCTCAACATTACAGAAAAAAATCTAACAGAATGTAACTAACTACTACTAGCATCAGAATCCTGGACTCCAATGAATGTCCAGATCTTGTTGGGTTCTTCGTAATATCTCCAAAATGTGCCCCTTCTTAACCAATGAAACCAACAGGCTACTCATTCACTCTTTCACCTTGACTTTTGCAACTCCCTCGTTGTTGGCCTACCGCTACACAAAAAAAACCTGAAGAATATAATTTAAAGATATTTTTTTAAATATATTGTTTTTAAATATATTCTTCAGATTTTTTTTTTTTTTACATCTAAAAAAAAATCATTTTAACATATATTTGTACATATATTTGTAAATGCTTTCTAAAAAATGTAGATTTGTATTTTTAAAGACATACAGTATATTTGAAATGTATTTTTAAAATACATATATTTTGTAATAAAAATGCATTTCAAAATGCAGAATATATATATTTATTAAAATATATTTTGAAATAAATATATTGAATATGGCCAAAATTGTAGCATTTCAAATATATGTCAATATATTTGGGAAGAATATTTTTAAAATATATTTCAAATATATTTTTCTTCCATGTGGGTCTCATTAGATTGTAAGCTCTCAGGAGCAGCTCCCTCTTAACCCTCTTGTATTGAAGTGTATTGTAACTGTACTATTTACCTTTTTATATTGTAAAGCACTTTACAAACTTTTGGCGCTATATAAATCCTGTATAATAATAATTTACATCTATACATATGGGTTATATTCATTCCATTGGCACAGCTGCTTTCCAAATGCAGGACATAACCCCAAAGCACCCTGCTAAAGGCAAAGAAAATATGTAGTAAAAAAAAAAAGTATCAAAAGCAACATTGTAAAATGGATAGTAAAGACGGATTTTTTTTTGTAAGAACAAAGGAGTAAATAGGACCTTTCCATGCCTAGCTGTGAATTTAGAAGACACGCAGCGTTTGGTCATTATTTGTGAAGTACATGGAGTAACAGCAGAGGATGTGGGCTGTGCGTTAAAATGTATATTGTATAGGACGCGCTTGTTGGAGCCCAACCTCTGTAGCTGTAGGATAAAGGTGCCGGATGGATATCAGGGATGGATGGATGGGAGCAGTAACACTGAGGCAGCTCTTCTTAGAGTGGAAGCAAGGCTCTAATGCAGTAACAAGAAAAAGTGAGGAAGGTGCCTCTAAGTGCAGTATTGACAATTTATTTAGTAAACAATGGATAAATTACACTTACAAGATAAACAGTTAAAAAGGACTCATCGTGTGGTAATTGGATCCAGGTGGGACATCCAGCCATCCAGCAGCAAACTATGTCTATAGGATCAGGAAGTAGAGTCCAGGATGTGCCTGTGCATCAAAAATGAAGCTTGGAGAGCAGAGTCGGATGTAGCAGGTGAAGGGGGCGGTAATGCATTTCAGAGCATGCTCAATAGGCTCCTTCTTCAGACCTCTGTCCCACCTGGATCTAATTACCACACAATGAGTCTTTTTAACCGTTTATCTTGTAAGTGTAATTTATCCATTGTTTACTGAATAAATTGTCAATACTGCACTTAGAGGCGCCTTCCTCTCCTTTTTTTCTTGTTGGCTGTGCGTTGTTGGTGAAATATGGGATTGGCCAGTTTTTTTTTTCAGCTCCTCGCTGTTGGCTTTCTTTATGTAAAACCATCAGAAAGGGTGCATGCCAACTCTTTCATTATAAGGCTCCATGCACACTAGGGTTGTGGTTTTTTTTTTTTCCTTTTTTTTTAAAAGCTCAAAAAATGTTGAATATAAAAATGCTGGCAATAGCGGTTTTTTTAGTAGTGTTTTACGAGCATTACGGAGTGTTTAGCAGTTACAGTACATGTAAAAAAAAAAGCTATAAATAAAGCTGTTAGGCACATTTTGGTAGCGTTTAGCAGCAATGAGCATTTTTTTTTTTTTTCTGCTGGAAAAAACACTCAAAAAAACTCTACAAAAAACATTTTGTTTTCTGCTCCTCGACGTTGAAGCTCAAAAAAACACTAAAATCCTAAAGTAGTGTGCATGGACATAGTAGAACACTATTTTGCTTCTAGGAGCAGAAGACAAAAATTCTAATTACAGCTACTAGGAGCTAAAAAAAAATGCTAGTGTGTATGGGGCCTAAGAATGTGTAAAGTCTGGCAATGCACTGGGGTTGATTTACTAAATACTGTAGATTACAGTTGCATTCTGCAAGTGCAGTTTCTCCAGAGCTTAGTAAATGAGGTCTTTGCAAAGAATGCCCCTTGCACACAGTGATGTATTTAAGTTTCATGCTGCCCTAGGCAACACAACCCCCATGGAGAGACCCTGACACCAGCCAACACCCCCCTTCCCCACGAAGAGAGCCTGACATTGACCAACAACACCCCAGTCCCCCGCCCACCCCCATCTGAGAGAGCCTTCCGCTGCCACCGCCTCCCCCATACACTGGCAAACCCCCCCCCCCCCCCCCCCCCCCCCCCCCAAGAGATAAGACGCCCACCTTCACAGCTCCCTGGGAACAAGAGTCATGCTCTGCATACACCATCAAGCAGCCCGCAGCCTCTCTTAGATCCCACCTGGTCCCCATGCTGCGCGTGTCCCTTCTTCCTTTCCTTCTTTCAGGGGATGGCACTGCCCCCCTGGAAAATGCCGCTGCCCCCCCTGAAAAATGCCGCCCTAGGCAACTGCCTTGTTTACCTTGTGGTAAATACACCCCTGCTTGCACATGATTGGATGATGGAAGTCAGCAGAGCTTTCCTTCAATTACTAAGCTCTGGAGCAATTGCCCTTGCAAAGTGCACAGTCTATTTGCCTTTAGTAAGTCAACCCCAATGTTAAAAAAAAAATGTGCTCTAACCACCCAATAGGAAAAAAAAAAACTCCTAGAAGGAAAAGTCCTGTAATATAACTGCACTACAGTGTACTGTATTTAAATCCAGAAGGAAAAATGTAATATATTGCATCTTACTTGTCCTTGGCGTGGTGGCTGCATTCATTTTTTTTAACCTGCTTTATTTTCACCTGCTGATCCTGAAAATAATACTCCTCTTGTCCCTTGGTGGCTACGTCACTCCTTCACTGCATCTATGGAGGGAGCAATTGTTGGCTCCCTAGGCTGCTCTGCTGATATAGGCCACAAACCTGTCTGTATCCTTCATCTCCAATACATGGGGCAGGACAATTGGTAGTTTACAGAAGATAGCTAGGAAGGATGATATTCTTCTGTGCAGCTCAGAGGAAGCGACTAGGACACAGCATTTCGGGCAGGATCAACGCGTATTATTTTGTATGAAATAGTTTGTTTTTTTTTTTTTTTTTGTGTATTTTGCTGAAATTGGCTTGGGAAAAAAGAAAAGTAATGCAGCCACCTCACGGACTGTAACATAGCACATTTTTGTTCTTGGGTTTAGTGATCCTTTAATGCAAGCATTTTCTGGATATTCTTCGTATCATTCTGTCTTTTGTTTCATTCTGTTCTTTGTATCCTTTTACAGTCTTGAGTGACGTGGCCGATATGTTGGGTTTGGACTCCTTCCAGCTGTCCGAGGTGCTGACACAGAGATCCATGATTCTCCGGGGAGAAGAGATCCTGTCTCCTCTCACAGTGGAGCAGGTGAGGTCTTTTGATCATTCAGTTGGAGTATTTAAAAGAATAACTCGATTTTTGTGGAGAAAAGAACATTCCCCTTTGGCTGATCTATGGACATTGCAAGGATTTTATCGAACTTTGTTGCAGATTCCTACCTTTTGTTATTCTGAAGAAATAGCTGTTTGTTTCTCTGTGTCCATGCGCTGAGTGAATCTGTATGGGAGTGATTTTAGAATTATCAATCCGCTGCTGCACCTGCAGGACTCCAATAAGGAAAGTGGCAGGGTCTGCATCCCTTTACACTAGGTTCGCACTGAATCCGACTTTAATATCACGTGATTTCACTGCCACAGGTCAGTGCGATTTCAGGTGCGACTTTCCTGACATTTGTGCAACTTCATGCACAGATGTCTATGCAAGTCGCACCTGAAATAAAAAAAAAAAAAAAAATTGCGCTGGAACCTATTTTTTCAAATCTGTGTGGCACTGCAAGGTCAGAGTCGCACCGATTTGAACAGTTCCATTTCCGGTCATAGGGTGCAACTTGTCATGCAATTTGGAATGGTCAAATCGCATGACAAGTCACTCCTGTGTGAACCAGGGCTTATGCAGGCCATGCATGGTTCAAATTCTGAACGATTTTGCGTCCAAAAATCGGAAACGTTCGCACAGTAATCCGATGGTGCCATCAATGATTTCGAAAATCGGTCGACCAAGTCATAAAGTTCACCCCATATAACAGGCGAAACTTCTGTTCCTTACAGGTCACGGCTCATGCAGATATTCTTTTCGGAAAAACAATTGTACGATTTGACCATCATTGAGTCGAAAATCGGTAGTTTTTCATCAATTTTCCAACATGCCCGATCACCGCAAAGGGAAGGAACCAAGAAAATCGTCCGGTGCCATTGACCCACTAACAGAGCGAAATTGGCCGATTATTCTTGGGTCTGATTTTTGGATGAAAAATCAGTCTAATTTCGACCCTTAGACATGATTTCCCTTTGGGTGTATCCTACCAAAAAAACATTTTTGTTGCAGAGGATGCCAAAAAAATCTGACTTATATCTTAGTGCAGACTTCTGGGAAAATTAGTGAACCAATCACACAAGCAGGTAATGACATTTCCTGGGGAGTTCTGTACACAGAACTTCCAGGTTGCCATATTGTATGAAATTTTATTAAAATTATAGCGCTACCAATTGAAAAATAACTGTTGTTTTTTAACATTTCATTACAATATGACTTGTATAGCAATTGTGTACACTATTTTACTATTTTTTTTTTTATTTGCTATTTTTTTCGCCTCAAAATGGAGTTATATTTTAACCATTAGCCGTCCCGCCTATAGCCATTTGGCGGCTGCAAAAATGCTTCAGCTTTCCGGGTGCACGCTCCCGCACATGCGCAGTTCGCAGCGGCACGATCTGTCATCGGCCATGTACCTCGGACACGGCCGATGACAGATCTGAGTACCGGCCCCCGTTTGCCGGTACCATGTGACCTGCTGCGACCAATCACAGCAGGTCACATGACAGTTGTATACAATGGATGGCTTCATTCATGCCATCCATTGTATACTAGTGCCTAGCTGTGAATGGTCACAGCAGGTCACATGCACATGTCATGTGATTAGCTGTGGCCAAATCACAGCTAAGCACAAAAAAAAAACAGGTAAATTCAGGTAAATGCTTGCTTAAATAATTATGTAAAAAAAAAAAAAAAAAAAAAAAAAAAAAATACTGATCACTTCCCCAAAGTAGTACAATTTCATAAAATATGAAAAAAAAATCTAAAAAAAAAAAAAAAAAATGTAATAAAAAAATAAAAATAATAAAAAAAAAAAAAAAAAATTACTATATATCTTTTTTTTTTCATACTGTCACCATTCAGTGTCCCTGTTTACCGCCATGCCAGTTATATGATGACGCTGTACTGCACTGGTGACCGTATGTAAAAAAAAAAAAAATAGTGAAAATAATTTTTTTCATTTTTTCATTTTCCAAAAAATTATAACAAAAAAAATACAACTTCAAAAAACTCGCCATGCCTCTTATGAAGTACGTCGGACTGCCTACTCTGCAAAAAGGGGTCATTTGGGGGATATCTGTACTGTCCTGACATTCTTAGACCTCAAGAAATTAGATTGGCTGTCAGTACTTCAGGATTGATCAATATTCAGATCTATACCATAGTTTGTGAACTCTATAACTTTCCTACAAACTAAATAATACATCCTAATTTGGGTTATTTTCACCAAAGACATGGTGCAGAATACATCTCGGCCTAAATTTATGAAGAACAATTATTTATTTGTAAACTTTTATAGCAGAAACAAAGAAAAACATGTTTTTTTTTTCAAAATGTTTGGTCTTTTTTTGTTAATTTAGCAAAAAATAAAAACCCCAGCGGTGATTAAATACCACCAAAAGAAAGCTCTAGTTGTGTGAAGAAAATGATAAAATTTTAGTTTGGGTACAATGTTGTATGACCGCGCAATTGTCATTCAAAGTGTGAGAGCGCTGAAATGTGAAAAATGGCCTGGGCAGGAAGGTGTAAAATTGCCCGGTATTGAAATGGTTAAAGCCAAAGTCCGGGCAGATGTAAAGGACACAAATAAAGGCACTCTGGGCTCTTTCACCATTGGCGTAGCACGCTTAACGCCTTCTACATATCTGGATTCCGCTCAAGTCCCCTGATTGTGTTCAGGGGTACCTTGTCATATGGGATCAGCCTCACCGAGGCAATTCAGCTAAATAATAAGTACGTTTCACACTCAAAGCATTGGAGATCTGGTGCTTCTTGTGCAGGTACCAGCAATAAAAACCTGATAGGGATTCTAACCCTCACCAAAATTGGTGGAGAAGATGAAGCCGCACACAAAATTTGGGTTACAGTCCATTGGCCTCAAAGGTCTATGGAATCTTTACAATGTCCTGCAGTTAGTTTCTTCTTCTCAAACTTCCTCTAATGTTGTTGATCTGATTCAGGCTACAGACTCCCGTGACTCCCTGGCCATGGCGCTCTACGCTCAGTGCTTTTCCTGGCTGCTCGGAAAGATCAATGCCCGTATCCGAGGGAAGGAGAACTTCAAGTCTGTCGGGATTTTGGACATTTTCGGCTTCGAGAATTTTCAGGTGTGATTACAGCTTATTATTGCTGCATTGCCTGCTGAAATGGGTGTGCATTATACTAATCCCTATTGGCTGTGCATATCCTGAGGCACTGGAGAGCACATATGATATGCATTATACTAAGATATCAGCATTTATGGGGAACATTTTTATAATTTAAATGTATCATCTGTCCTGTTGATCAAGGTACAATTTATGCACAAAGTGAATGAGTCAGACTGTTCCCCATTCAGTTGGCTCCCAATACATTTCAACCAGAGACCGGGTGTCTGAAAGGTAGCATCTGCCACTATATTCTCTGTTTAGGAAACCCATAGTGCTCTGGAAATCCTGTGTCGTTACAGCTGTATTATGGCTTGAATTACTTGGGGTTTTTTTGTTTTTTTAAGCAACAAAGATTGCATGTGTAATATAGTATAGTATTATATACACACACACAGCTTTTTTTCTGAAAAAAACAAAAAACAAAATAGGTGCAGGAACTCCCCCCTTCTGAGACACATTTTTGTCTTGAATACAGAGCCAAGTATCATCATTTTGTGGTGCTGAATAATTTGTATGAAATGTATTAATGATAACAAGAAAAGCAGAAAAATGGATCCATTGCAGCCAGCAATAATAGACCCCCCCCCCTCAGCAACAGCAGATTCCTCCAGCAACAAAGGACCTCCCCAAACAAAATACCTCCCCAGTAACATTAGACCTCCAGCAGCTGCAGCAGATCTCCCAACAGACAGCGTGTCAATACTCTCCAGCAGCCGGCAACAATGACAATAGACCTCTCTCTCAACAGTAGATCCTTTCCAGCAACAATTAACCCCCAGCAACAATAGATCCTCCACTAGTAACAATAGACCTCCTCAGCAACAATTGAACACCACACAAAATAGATCCCCTGCAGTAACAATAGATCCCCAGCAGCCAGCAACAAAAGATCCTATAGCACCTCTTGCCATTGCATACATTCAGTACTGGAGGTGCCTAAACTGCATTCCGCCACATTCTCACTGAAAAAAGATAATTATATATATATATATATATATATATATATATATATATATATATATCTATCAGGGGCAGACTATTTGGAAACTCGGGCGCTGCCCGAGGGCCCGGGGTCAGTAGGGGGCCCCATGAGATGCTCCTGGTACCTTTTTCATAGGCTTTTTTGAGTTTGGGCAAGGACACAGGGGCCCCATGATCCCCTATTGCTCGGGGGCCCCATGAGTTGTCAGTCCGCCCTGAAATAAATAAATAAATAAATATATATATATATATATATATATATATATATATAGTTTTTTTTAATGTATTTAAATATATATTTCACTTGGTGATCCTGCCAAAACCATGCTTCCTGTCCTGGAGTAACAATTTCCCTGTACTGTATCTATGAAGAAGCAGTGTGGCCACCATAGGACCACAACTATAGGGGTGGGTTCTGTAGTCCTCAAAGATAAATAAGAACAATATTCGTAACTGACTGGGATGCAGCATAGACAGAAAGCACAAGTACATTTCTGGTAGAATCAACAGGCACTTAAAGAACAGATATAACAAAGCATTTTCAACCGTATATTTAATGGACCAAAGGGGACCAAATAGGATGCATTCATTGTTGAGTATACACATTTTCTTTAATTTTTTTTTTTTAAAAAAAAGCCTTTTCTGCAATTTTCTCTCAAGGTGAATCGGTTTGAGCAGTTCAATATTAATTACGCCAATGAGAAGCTTCAAGAATATTTCAACAAACACATATTTTCCTTGGAGCAGCTGGAATATAACAGGTAAGAGTAATGGGATCAGAAGAGAGGATGTTGGGAAATTGAATACCGTTCAGACCTCAAACCATACGTAATCAAGAATTTGGGCTCAACTGTAATTTACATAGAAGGCATTGCATGTGAAGTCGCTTCATTCCCTCTCCTCTCTCCACCATCAGGGAAGGCATCAACTGGGAAGCCATTGACTGGATGGACAATGCAGAATGTCTGGATCTAATAGAAAAGGTAAGCCCTCCAAAAGAAACCTGTTAGGAGAACAACATGGAGGCTGCCATTGTTGAGCACTCTTTCTGAAAATTCTACTTGACCCGCAACTCATATCCGGAGAATGACTTTTATTTTTTTTTTTTTTGACCGTTTGGATCTGCATACTCATTTTGGGTCAGAGTTCAGAAAGTTTTGAAGTTACAGTATAATGGCCAGGCAACTGGCATTTACAGAAGAGATCAACATCGGTAGGCCCAGCATTTTCCTTGAGACAGGTTTACTTTAACTGAGAATATAAAAAGGAGCTTAGAATGACTAAACCACCAACTGGTAAAACGGAAATACATCGGTGCCTTTCAGTGCCCATTAACTCTTACACGCTGTAACATGCATTGCAACACACTTTGCATTCTGAATGGCACCTCAATACAAGGAATGTACCTCCAATGTACTTGTGTTGCAGTGCATTATGGTACCCACCATCCTGTCTATTTTAGATTTTGACCATATTATTGTATTATTTTTGTTTGATATTATTCAAGCCATCAGATAGGCGCATATAATGGGAATACATGACACACAACTCTACGCGTTTCTTAGACCAACTTTTAAAGTGGTTCTAAAGCCTGAAGGTTTTTTACCTTCCGAAATTCTATGCCTGAAGCTTAAATACCTGCTGTGTGCAGCAGCTTCCCTAGATACTTCCCTGACCCCATCACGATCCAGCAATGTGCACAAGAGCCTCTGCTCTTCGGGGACTCTCGTACCTCATTAGATGAGGCAGCAGTGGGAGCCATTGGCTCCTGCTACTGTCAGGGATCCTGGTGCATGCTCATTAGGCCTTCTCATGCAGGGATGCGGGCGCTAGGTCCTGGCCTGCCGCGGCTGAGACGAAGTCCGCGCATGCGCACTCGGATCCGCGAGTGCGCGTCTGGCACCAATGACAGCGCGGGGCGCGATATTTAAATCCGCCCTGCGCTGACAGGAATTGCCGAATGGTCTTTCCTGTATCCTGATCCTGTACCTGTGTTTTCTGATTACTGCTGCTGACACGGATTGATTGACTTGCTGTATTCTCCTGCCCTGACCCTTGGCTTGCCTGACCTCTCTCCTGGATGCCCCTTTATGGATCTGACCTTCTGTTGCTGACCTGGCGTGTGACCCGACCATTGCTTGCCTGCTGCTTTGTACCGCACCGACCCCCCGGCTACCGACTCAGCTTATCTGACCTAGCTTTAGCTCATCCATCCGTCCATCCATCCATCTTACTGGGACCTCCCGGTCTCCTCACATCAGACTCTTACCCTGCGGGAGCCTCTGGCGGACTCCTCTATCACTGGTGGGTATACCCGGTAGTCCTGGTCTCGGAGCGCTCCAAGTCCATCCCCACCATCAGGGGCCCTGGTGAACAAGTGCTCCGGAACTTAGACTCCGCGCTCCGGGGAAGCCTGACCAGTGGGTTGCTAGAGGTGCTGTCAGGTGGTCCCTTACAGCTACTGTCAATCACAGCGAGTGAGCGAATGAGGGGGGGGGGGGCTGAGTCACGGCTCTGTGTGTGAATGGACACAGAGCCGCGGCTCAGGAGTGAGCCTGCTTTGGTGCCCTCATAGCAAGCTGCTTGCTCTGGGGGCACTAGGCATGAAGGAGGGGGCAAGGAGCACCAGTGGGGGACCCAAGAAGAGGAGGAGCGGGGCTGCTTTGTGCAAAACCACTACACACAGCAGGTAAGTATGACACGTTTGTGTTTTTTTTTAAAATTGCTTTTAATATCCCTTTTAAGCACTTCAGGTTGATTTTATTACCATGGATTTTCTATGTAATTATTATTTTTTTTCTTTTTGTTGCAGAAACTCGGTTTCTTGGCTCTTATCAATGAAGAAAGTCGTTTCCCTAAAGGCACAGATTTCACTTTGCTTGAAAAACTTCATAACCAACATACTGTGAGTTTTCATTATTCGTCTCTAAAAGTTTACCTGCATTATCATTGTTAATATACAGTGGCTATAGAAAATAATCCCCCCCCCCCCCCCCCCCTTTATAATAATCACACTTTGTTGCTTTGCAGCCTGAAATGAAAACAAACAGTTGGTGTTTTATCCAGCTGTTGTTACAATGTATGACATCCAAGTGAAAGATATAACACCAACATGTCAGAAAAAAAAAATCACTGTGTTGGAAAAAGGATCACCCCCCTCCTAAAAATGACTTGTAATCTTAACCAGGTGTAGCTAATCACCTTCTTAATGGCACACAAAGCCATTTGACTTTCAGCTGGGATCAGCTGTGGTCATTTTGATTAGCGCAGCTTGAAAAGAGCTTTCCTGGAGCATTTCAGTCCCTGGTAGTGCAACTGATGCAACCAATCAACTATGTGTTCTACAGAATCTTTTCAACACCCACTGTATAGGCGTCCTCCCTTCATTTTCAGTTGATGGTTTTCTGCTATTGTTGTTCGCCCAACCAAAAATTCTAAATCTTAACACCATACAAAACCATCCAGAACTCTGCTCTGAACTTGTCACCCACACACTACTGATCTTCAAGATATCATCTAAATGTTTTATTAACCCCTTTCGTGCCAGCGCCTCTCGGCCCTTAAAGGGGTTTCTGACACCAGGGTTGGCGGGGTTTAGGGTTATGTGATTGCCGTGATTGGCTGTCTTGGTGGTCACATGATCAGAAAGGTCCCAATCGCAAGGACAGAATCGGGACCCTTCCAAGGGACGCCGAGACTCTCTCAGCACGTTTGTTTTCAAATGGTACACCAATATACGGCCGCTCGGTGTCAAGGCCCAGCCACCGAGAGGCAGCATATTTGATATGATAAAGTGCACATCAATATGATAAAGTGCATTGTTTCGGGGGCCATGCAAGACCCTATTATCAGGCATGGCCACACACTGGCTGAACCGCTGAATTTCAATAAGGGTATAGCCAGCTTTAGAGTGAATACCCCCTGAGAGAGATCTCCTCTTGCTTCCCACTTTTTTGCCGCTGGGACAGGAAGTAAGAACGGAACTCCAGGATTACCCTATAAATGCCTTCTTGACAGTCTGTTGACTTCCCACAGCTTCTTCTCTTCCTTCTGATGGCGGTAGGGTGTGGGCAGTCCTCCAGTACAGTATGGTGGTCATCAAATGATATATATGATGCACTGCTCAGCCCTGGAAAACCATGAGCCCAGGCTGCGTGATGATGTGCCCCCTAGTGGAGGCAAGTAAATGACAGGCTGGCCTCACAGGAAATGGGCTGAATGACAGTGTGTCATTTTGCTCTATAAGGAGCTCCGGCACTGGACCAAGAAGGAAGTCTGGGAGTGTGATGGACATGCAGAGGTTACGTAGAAGTAGTAGTACAGTGTTACTATGGTAATGCTAATGCTCTGGTCACCGTATGTAAAAAAAATAAATAAAAAAAAAAAATTCATTATTGAGCATACTGTCACCAGTCAGTGTTCCTGATCATCTTCACACCAGTTATATGATGTACTGCACTGGTGACAATTATTTAACATTTCTTAATTTTCAAAAATATTGTAATAAAAAATCACAACTTCAGAAAAACTTGCCATGCCTCTTATTAAATATCTTAGACTGTCTACGTTCCAAAAAAAAGGGGCTTTGTGCGGTATTTGTACTGTTCTGGCATTTTCGGTCCTCAAGAAATGAGAGGCCATCAGTGCATCAGGATTCATCTATTTTTTCAGATATGTATATCTACCATAGTTTGTAGACTCTATAACCTTCCTACAGACTAAATAATATACACTGATTTGGGTTATTTTCACCATGGAAATGTAGCAGTATACATTTTGACCTAAATTTATGAAGAAAAAATTTTTCTTGTTTGTTTTTTGTTTTTTTTTAATTTTTGTCTTTTTTTTCATATAGCAAAGAAAAAAAAAAAAAAAAAACAGCAGTGATTTAATACCACCAAAAGAAGCCCCATTTGTGTGAAAAAAATTATATAAAGTTCATTTTGGGTATGGCACTGCATAACCATGCAATTGTCATTCAAAATGTACCAGCACTGAAAGCTGAAAATTGGCCTGGGCAGGAATGGGGTGAACATGTCTGGTAAATAAGTGATTAACATATATTAACCCCTTTGTGTCAGCGCCTCCCGGCCCTTTAAGAGGTTTCAGAAGGCGGGAGGTAGGGCGGAGTGTTAGGGTCATGTGACTGCCATGATTCGCTGTCACGGCGGTCACATGATTGGAAAAGGTCCCGATCGCAAGGGAGATCGGGACCTTTCCGTGAGTCACAAACATACGTGCTGGGAGTGTGCAGGGCCCGTGCTTTCAGCACATATGTATTTTCAAATGGTACGCAAATATACGACCGCTCGGCGTCAAGGCCCAGACGCCGAGAGGCCGCATATTTCTATCTAGGGGTTAAAATGGTTCTAAAGGCAAGTAGCGCCCACTAGGTGGGGCTAGTGTAGGGTACTGTAAATTTATATTTGGCTCATGGTAGTGAGTGAGCCTGAGTGCCTGTTCACATATATGCGATTGGATGAGGTTTGAACTGCATACAATCTGCATGAAATGTGAAATAACATTGCTCCCTATGGTGCCTGTTCACATATGTCCGGTGCACTGGCAGTACGGGTTCCATGAGGATTGAAAAGGAGTCGTGTCTGATTTCTGAGCAGTATGGTTTGGTTCAGGTGTGTATTACAGGCTAATGACTTCTATGGGAACTGTTTATAAACCGCACATCATCAATTGTGAACAGGATAAAATCCTGTCCTGAACTTGATCTAAGCCTGTCCTGAACCGCTGAACAACTACTGTATTAATTTGCTTTGAATCCTGAGCTTCAATCCACATCGCACATGTGTGAATCAGCACTGAATTACTGTGGGTTCAGTGCTAGGTCATACTGAGTGACTCAGCAGGTTGGGACTTTTGTGGCTCCACCTGGTTCTGGAGGTCCATGGAAATTTCCAGAAGCCAGTGGGCGGAAAGCTGGAGGCCTCAATCTGCATATTTATGGGAGTCTGACCAATCCCAGGCTAAGAGACCCTGGTAATGTGGTAGACTAGACTCTAAATATGATAGAGCCATGCTACCAGGGGAGTCGGGTTAAAGATGGATTGCTGAGAGGTGTTGCCGTGTGGCATGAGAGGGATCCCAGATAAGGGGGGTTCTGCTTCCAGGCTGGAGGCTGGACGCAGAAGAGAGGCTGCTCCACTGTTTGCAGTTCACCACGGATGGTCAGCCTGCAAAACTTGGAGAGGAACCAACCCTCAGCTGCAGGACAATGGAGAAGAAGGGAGATGTCTGCTGGATACAAGTTCTGGCAAGTCTTCAGGGGACAGTTCATAGCTTATCCAATCTGTTGTCCTGGGATCAGAACTCCTACACATTGTCTCGTTGCTAAAAAATCCACTCAGGGGACACCAAGCTCCTAGATGGGGATTATGCTACTAAGAACTGTGATGGTTCTGGCTGGAACACAGTCAACTGTTGTTTTTTTTTTGCTTTTCTAGGGCAGGAAACGTCCTCACTCTGCTGTTTCTTCAAACAAATTGGGCATCCCATAACCCCTTTACCCCATCCAAGTGGATGAAAGTGTGGAAATGCATGTTGCCTGGCTGTGCAGAGCTTAGGGGGACCCACAAACTCAGTAACCATCAAGAGGGTAGCGCTACAGGCAGAAATTTTTTTCCTAAATACATTCTATAGGGGGGCATGAGCTACAAGCAGAAGGTTTTTTTACTTTCATGCACTATGCATTAGGGTAAAAAAACCTTCTGCATGTAGCTCCCCCTCCCCAGTCCCCCTAAATACTTACCTGAACCCGATCTCATTGTGCACAAGGGCACTGGCTCTCTCCCTCCTCACTGGCTCAGAGACAGCAGCGGGAGTCATTGGTTCCTGCTGCTGTCAGTCACAGCTTGTGAGGAGAGATGGGGGCTGCTCTGTGCAAAACCAGGTAAGTATGACATGTTTGTTATTTTTTTTTTAATTTAAAAGTTTGCCTTTAAATCATGCACTCCGCATCTGACGTTCGATAAGTTGGTCGAACATGCCCCAGGGATGTTTGGCTACACTCAGCAGTTTCCTCCACAGTGAGCCTCATGTCCGTGTCCCCGCTGGCTACAATTTAACACAGATGTTTTCTTTGTGTCCCAGAATAACCCCCACTACGTGAAGCCACGAGTGACCGAAAACCAGTTTGGAATCAAGCACTATGCGGGGGAGGTAGGATGAAACTTTTTCCAAAACACAAGTCCTGTGCGTCATGCTTACTCCATGTCCAGATTGTTTGTATGTGATGTGTGAACTCCAGAGAAATATGTATCTGTCACCCTACATGTGCTTCAAAACTTCTTTTGTTTTTTAATTGCAGTGAAATGTCAAAACCACAACCCAGATCTTTTTTTTTTTTTTTTATTTTTAATAAATTGGAATGCCCCAAACTTTTCTCTTTTAAAGTGGGAATTTCCCCTTCAAAATAATGTCATAATGTGCATATTGCATCGCATACTAGCCCATTTCGAAAGACTTCATAAATTGGTAGAAGGATCCGCGCAATGGTAACTACGGATGGGCTGCTTGCTAGCACCGAACACAACTCTAGGGATCTGTGAGAACGAACGACTACTAAAATAAATAGTGAAGCGCTGCCCCCTTGGTCTCAATCTGGTGAAAGTGAAAATGGGCAATATATCTTCTAAAATATACATATATGTATGTGTGTGTGTCTGTGTGTGTGTGTGTGTATATATATATATATATATATATATATGTATATATGTGTGTGTGTGTGTGTGTGTGTGTGTGTGTATGTTCTGTATATATATACACACGCACGCACACACACAAAAATGTGCATAAATTGAGAAGTGCAGTATGGTACTATAATAGACCTCTCCCCTTGGTGCATCAATATCTCTTTCAATTGTATACCAATTTAATCTCTAAATGGTGTATTCCCTGTTATGGGAAGGTTCAATACCACATTGCAACTGCTTCCCAAACTGAGCCACACTACAATGCACCTTCCTCCTATAGTGTACAAACTGTGAAAACTCAAATGTGCAATACCTGAAGTCCTATATCTTATACCAATTTGTCAATAAAACCATAGTCCATAGAGTCCAATAGTTCCTTGTGCTCTAGTGCTGTGGTGAACGTGCTTTACGAAAACATGGGTGATAAAGATCGGTGCTTCCACATGTGCTTCCCCTTTTCCACCGCAACGTTTGACCCCGTTTGCATGTAGGTCAAGGCTTTAGTTGCTCTTTCCTCCGCTGTGTAGTGGAACTCTAGGGTGGATGATGTGTCCTTCCCGATCCGAGATGTACATATCCTTCTTCAAATGGTCCATAAGTATGCATGCCAGAAAGAGGAAAACTGCCATAGTGTAAAATTGTTTATTGTGAACTTTAAAAAGCGAAATCGCTTTTACAAACATTAAAAAGATGGGCGCTTTAAGAACTACAAGGAACCAGAATGCCAGCTGCGGTCCACTATTCTACTACTGGAAAGCGAAAGTGATGTAATTAGCTCCACGATGACGTCGCTCCTCTGCCTCGAGTCTCGGCCGTGGCACAGAGCTCTGAAGGAAAGGCACGGGGAGCACATGCGCTGGAGATGTCATCAGCTGCAGGGACACTGAATATCTTCTAAACCAGGGGTAGGCAAACTGCGGCTCTCTAGCTGTTGTGGAACTACATTTCCCATGAGGCATTGCAAGTCATAGCTGTAACTGTCAGTTTTGTAATGTTGCAGAAGCATGATGGAACTTGTAGTCCAGCAACAGCTGGAGAGCCGCAGGTTGCCTACCCGTGTTCTAAACGGTGCATGTTTAGGAGATAGTCATTGTATCTACAGGTAAGCTTTATTATACGCTGACCTGCAGGTACAAGTGTCCAGTGGGAGTTTACTTCCACTTTGAGCCTGGGTTCACATATGTGCGGTGCAGTATATCGCATGTGATTCGCATAGGAACCACACCGCATTCCTGAGCAAATCACATGCGATTTGTGTGCAGTGCAATCTGCACCGCACCAAAAAGGTGTAGGACCCTTTTTTTGGTCCACACTAGAATCGGATCTCATGGGTATTCACACCTATGCGATCCAATTCTGCACATCGCACTGCGTTTTGCATTCCACTCTCGGGGTTTTGTTAACTTGACAGGGGTCTCGCAAGACCCTGGTCACATGCCTGATGAAGAGGTCCTGCGAGACTCCAAAACGTTGCCTTGCTGTAACTATGTGATGGTTTATTAAAACCTTTGGACCCATATTGGTGATCCTTGGTGTGCTGGTGACATTTTTTTCTTTTTCTTGTTAACTTGACATACACACCTGCAGCGGTTCGCATGAACGGGGTGCGATTCTGATGTGGTGCGGAATTCGCACAGAAAACGCTGCAAATTCCGCACCGCATCAGTGTGAACCCAGGCTCAAAGTCCTTCATTGATCATCTACTTTTCAAGTGGACCTCTAGTAATTAAATAGTGCCATGCTTGCACACAAGTGTTGGAGGTAGCATTGAATTCCCATGCTATGTCTGTTCTGGTAAACCACATTTCAAGTACGTCTAAAGCTTAGAAGAGAAGAGTGGGTTAAGATCTCCCCCCCCAATTATTCCGCCCCGAATTCCGCACAGCATTAGTGTGAACCTGGGCTAATACTCCTCTAAATCCAAGGACAAAAATATAGCAACTTACCAGTCCTTGGATGTTGTGGCTGCATTTGGGTTTTTTTTTTCAGGCTTGCCTCTCCTTTAGTTTCATCTGGTGATCCTGCCAGAAACACACTACTAGGGAGACCACACCTCACTACTGTGGAAAAGCAGCATTGATACCCTAGGAAAGGACTACAGGACACTCCCTCTTCTTCTAAATAACATAGTGAGGATGTGTTTTGTAGTCCTCAAAGATAGCGGAGAACAATTTAACTGATAATAGACAAGGTAGCTGTCAAAAGGTATCTTTTTTTTTTTTTTTATATATATTATTTTTATTTAGCTGATGTAACAAAACACCTTCAGTGCATTGAGAGTAGAAGTACTAAATCACAGTCATTGTGCAGCTTTGAAAAGCGAAAGCAGGAAGCGGAGCTTGAGTATGTAATACGCCAATATGGCTGCTTGGCTAAAACATAGTAATATCATTCCATGCATCAAATACTATCAAATACAAGTGAAAGATTTCAGCACGATGCATGGAATCAGTTATACCAGCAACAAAGAGATTAAAAAAAAAAATCTTCCTTGAATAAAATAGCCAGCAGCATCAAGTAGTATTCTGAAAGAATTTCACATTGGGCGTCAAAGCGCAGTACTTAGCACACTGCGGGCTGTATTTACTAACACTGGTGAGCGCAAAACCTGGTGCAGCTCTGTATAGTAACCAATCGGCTTCCAGGTTTTATTGTCAAAGCTTAATGGAACAAGCTGAAGTTAGAAGCTGATTGGCCACCATACACAGCTGCACCAGATTTTACACTCTCCAGTTTTACTAAATCATTTCCAATGCATTTGTGCCACTTTTTTAATAAAGGAAGAATATTTTTCATCTCTGTGTGTGTAGTGTTCTCTTGCTGGTATAACTGATTCCATGTATTATAAAAATATAAAAAAAAATATACATTCCCCTTTTAAATACCTTTTTAATAAATGAATGTATACGATGCATACCTCCAGGCTTTCTCACCTTTTAGCACAAAGTATTGAGACGAAGGACACACACCCCCCTGCTATGCCCCCAGTTATATGAACTGAGAACAAAGTAATTAAAATGGTTGGAAAAACCAATAAGTGTTTTTTATTCACGGTTTTCCTTTATATCTTCTTTTCAGAATGTAATAATTAACACTTGTGAAACACTTTTGGTGGTTAAATAGTATTTTTTTTTTAATTATTAAAAATTACTGTACAGGATACAAAAAAAGGAAATTGGAGGTTTGCATGCCATCTGTTATCTCTGGGCAACATTTCCACCAGTTTAAAGCCCTTTATGATGAATTTAGGTTCTGTCTTCCTCCAGCTCCCCATATCCTGGTGTTTGGCTCCTATGCTGGTGTCTGGCTACTAATTCCTGTATCCTTGCGTCGGGCTCCTGCTATATCCTGGCGTCGGGCTCCTGCTATATCCTGGCGTCGGGCTCCCTCTGTGTTCCAGTGTGGGGGCTTCCTCTATCCTGGTGCGGGAGCTCCCTCTGTATCCTGGTGTTGGCGGCTCCCTCTGTATCTTGGTGTGGGGGCTCCCTCTGTGTCCCGGTGTGGGGGCTCCCTCTGTGTCCCCGGTGTGGGGGCTCCCTCTGTGTCCTGGTGTGGGGGCTCCCTCTGTGTCCCGGTGTGGGGGCTCCTTCTGTGTCCCGGTGTGGGGGTCTCCCTCTGTGTCCCGGTGTGGGGGTCTCCCTCTGTGTCCCGGTGTGGGGGGCTCCCTCTGTGTCCCGGTGTGGAGGGCTCCCTCTGTGTCCCGGTGTGGAGGGCTCCCTCTGTGTCCCGGTGTGGAGGGCTCCCTCTGTGTCCCGGTGTGGAGGGCTCCCTCTGTGTCCCGGTGTGGAGGGCTCCCTCTGTCCCGGTGTGGAGGGCTCCCTCTGTGTCCCGGTGTGGAGGGCTCCCTCTGTGTCCCGGTGTGGGGGGCTCCTTCTGTGTCCCGGTGTGGGGGGCTCCTTTATATTCTGGTGTCTGGCCTGTTATGAAAACATTTAGGGGTCTGGTATTTAACACAAGCTGAGGGACCTGGAGGTTTACAGAACCTACAAAATGGATGGATCTGGACTTCAGAATAAATGTAATGCACGGGCCTACCTAAACAAGCAATTACATTTACAGGCAGTTGGCATGCAGTACATAGTTGCTAGTAAATCTAATGTGGATGGTACAGAAATTCGATGATCAGATGGTTGTGTGTTTGGTTATTCTGGGCACACGAATTATAACTGAGATATATTCCACTATAGCCACAAAGTATATAAATCTACTCTGTGCACCAAATGTCTTTGCAAGAACATATATTATCTTGTAATGGTTGCAATGACATTATCACTTTGCTGTACATAGTATGTGAAAAGAACAGAGCTGTGGGAGGTACCTAGTAGCTCCACCCACTACAGGCTGCCTGCAGGAAACTACAGGAGGGGGCGGAGACGAGACTAATCACCCTGCACAAGGAGAGAGAGCAGCAGTGAGCGGTCTTTGTTACAGGAAGCTCCTGAACAGAGAGAAAATCTCACACTGGATTACTGTACATATATGAAAAAAAATATACAAAGCACACCAAGATTCAAGGAAGCATACACAAGACTCTTGTATTTAGACAACAATAGCTGCTTATTCCAGACCTCAGCTTTACGCCATACCTTGACTGGGGCAGGTGCTGTAGTAAGGCCCAAACTTTTTGTACAAGGGACTGTAAAATAAGAAAATGATAACAATACGATCTGTCCTGCCTTTCTAGGTCACGTATGATGTGAAGGGTTTCCTGGAGAAGAACAGGGACACTTTCCGGGATGATATCCTGAACATGCTAAGAGACAGCAGGTAGGTGTATGGGGAAATATATAGATTAACATTTCGTACCGGAAAGTCTTCATTTCTTTCTTGTATCTTGTTCAGGCTGGATTTTATTTATGATCTGTTTGAGAAGGTCTCCAGCAGATCTGGAGAGGGAACCCTAAAGATGGGGACACAAAAGAAGAAGCCTACAGTCAGTTCTCAGTTCAGGGTAAGTGTTGTATAATGCTGTGATACTCTTCAATGATGGCTTGCTGGCAGATGCCAAAGGAGATGTACAGCTCTGAGGTTCTAAATTCAATTCTATTGTGTGTATTGAGTCATTATTATTATTATACAGGATTAATATAGCGCCGACAGTTTGCTCAGCGCTTTACATTATGGTGGGAGACAGCACACGAGACAGTACAGTAACAATACAATTCAATACAAGAGGGATTAGATGGCTCTGCTCCTTGGAGCTTACAATCTAGGAGGGAGGGGATAGTGGTACAAGGGGTAATAACTGTGGGGGATGGAGTGGTTGGAAGAGTAGAGGATTCCAGTATTAGCTGAGGGCGGGGTAGGCTTCCCTGAAGAGAGAGGTTTTCAGAGTGCGCCTAAAAGTGAGCAGAGTAGGCGATAGTCTGATGGATTGGGGTAGGGAGTTCCAGAGGATGGGTAGGCCCTGGAGATGAGCATGGGAGGAGGAGACAAGGGAGCGAGAGAGTAGGAGGTCTTGTGAGGAGCGGAGAGTACGGTTTGGGTGATATTTGGAGACACGATCGGTGATGTTATTTTGGGGCAGAGTTATGAACGGCTTTCTACTCAGTCAGTGTTAGCGTTTTGAATTTTATCCATTGGGCAATTGGAAGCCAGTCATGTAAATTGTTCATTTTTAAAATCGGCCACTTCAAATCATTTGCCCAGCTGTAGTCCTACTCCTGTGCTTTGAAGATGTTAGATCTGATCTGCTGCTTTTTCTGCATCTCCTTTATTTTGTTTTAATGGAGGTTGTACTGATAGTAGGATTCTGATCTGTTCTGTGTATGTAGGAATCCCTCCATTCCCTCATGGCGATGCTCAGCACTTCAAACCCGTTTTTCATCCGTTGCATTAAACCCAACACAGAAAAGGTAAGGACCATCCTGAAAATCTGAAGTCTCTTTGTGCATCTGATTATCTTACTTTACACATGGGATGAGGGTGTGCCTTGGTGGGGAATCGGCTCAAAGCCTAGAAAAGATCTGAATTAGAAAATATAAGAATGTTGTCTCCAGCTATACCCTGTGCAGTTTTTCTTTTACAGGCATACCTCGGTTAATCAGTTAATGAATTTTTGGTTTACAAATGAAAATCCATTGAAAATAATGCCTCGGTGTACAAATTGTTTTCGCGATACGAACGGATTAATTGGTTTTCAATGCATTTACGAATTTTTTTTTAATCATGCCCCTGTACAGTACTATGCCATTAAAGTGCACTTTATAAAGAGTTTTGAACAGATAAAATACTTTTTTTTACTTTTTCTTTTTACCTCCAGAACGGATTAATTGGTTTTCAATGCATTTACAATTTTTTTTTTTAATCCTGTCCCTTTATGCCTTTAAAGTGCACTTTGTAAAAGTTTTGAGCATATAACTTTTTTTTTTTACTTTTTTCTGACCTCCGGAACGGATTCATTGGTTTTCAATGCATTTAAGAATAATTTTTTAATCATGTCCCTGTACACTATTTATCCCTTTAAAGTGCACTTTATAAAGAGTTTTGAACAGATAAAAGCCTTTTTTTTTTTTTTTTTTTTTTTTTTTTTTTTACTCCAGAATGGATTAATTGGTTTTCAATGCATTCCTATGGGAAACCACGTTTCGGTTAACGAATTTTTTCGCAATACGAAAAGTCCCGCAGAACAAATTAACTTCGTAAACCGAGATACACCTGTACTTCTTTTTCAAAGACCAGTTCAACAACTTTTATTAGTTCTGAGCAGGGTTAGATCTGCTACATTTTTATTGGCTTCTTCTTTACCACGCTCGAGTTGACTTGCTTAAATTTGAAATTGGAGGGATCCCCCCATAAAGGGGGCTCAGATAGCAATAAAAATGGAGAGGGGGATCAAATAATAGGAATGGGCTAAAAATTAGGGTTTTCCATTGTAGTGAGGTGCTGCTAGCCAACCAGTAAGAACACCTGGAATCGCATATCTCTAGTGTGACCACATCTTCACTATGCAGTCCTGCTTTGGTCACCAGCCCTCAGGAGGGATGTGCTGAAACGGAGAGAGTCCAGAGAAGGGCAACAAAATTAAAAAGAGGACTGGAGGAGCTCGGTTATATCAGAAATGGCTACAAACATTAAACTTATTCTCCTTGGTGAAGGGACTCCTAAGAGGGGATATGATAGCGATCTACAAATATCTTAATAGTGATTCTAGCAGAGGGAGGAAACCATTCAGTCTCGGGTCACTAAAGAAGACACATAACCACTCCAATGAGCTAGACGAGAAGCAGTCTAACCATAAAGTGTGTAAGGGGTTCTTCAACTGTTAAGGATGTGGAACTCCCTTCCACAGTCGGTGGTTTCAGTGGGAAGTTAAAGTATTAACTAAAGGCAAAACTTTTTTTTTTTTTGTAGTTTTGGATAGAGTTGAGAGGGATTATAACCCCTGCCACTTTTTTATTGCTGTCTTCGTCCCCATTAGGGAGATTCCCCTTCTCTATTTGCCCTGTTTTTCCAGTATCATTGAACGTGAAAGTAAAAAAAAATTCCAAAGAATCCCCAGAGAAGTAAGAGAAGGAGAAATCTTCCCATGGGGGACACTAGTTCTGGTGACCTGGGGGCATTTTATTGAACACAACATAAAATATTGCACAATAAATTCCAAGAAAGGAAAATTTTGTACATCCATGTTGTGCAATTGTACATGGCTCCCAACTATCCTTTATTTGAGGGCACTGTCACCAAGTCCCCCTAGTCCTCTTTTCTCTGCAGTTGTCCAACTATTTGGTCTGATGATGCCAACCTTTTATCAAAGCAAACCTTTTCTCTGCAGTTGTCTTTCTTTTTGGTCTGATGGCAACCTTTTATCCAGGTTCTAAACCGGGGGTCTCCAATCATTCTAAACAAAGGGCCAGTTTACTGTCCTTCAGACTTAAGGGAGGCTGAACTGTGACCAGTGGAGTAGAAAGGGTCTGAATGTCAGTGGGAATAAACCATGCCCTTTCTTTGGTATCAGTGGGAGGACTTGCGCCAATCATTGATGTCATTGGAGGGCATTGTACCACCTCATTGCTGTCATTGAGCCCCATTGTTTGTGTCATTGTGAGGAGTTATGCCCCATTGTTGGTGTCATTGGGAGGCATTGTGCCACTTCATTGGTGTCGGTGGAGGGAATTATGCCCCATTGTTGGTATCAATGGATGATCTACTATAGTGCCCCAAGGGTTGGATAAAATCAAGCAAAGGCCGCACCTTGGAGATCACTACTCCAAGTTATTGTATTATAATGAAAAGCCAGCCAAAACAATGAATAGCAGTGTGGGGGTAACTAGTTATTTTGTATGCCTTTTACATGGTTCCCATAATAAAGGCATTGCAAGAGTGGGTCCTTTTGCCTTCATACTTTTGTGCTAAAAGGTGTCCCTCTTTTCTCAGTTTGGGAAGTTGGGAGGTACTGTAAGTGGTGACTATATATATGCTATAGTGCCTCTGGCTTGTGTGCAGTTGTAGATTCATTTGTACTTTCCTGTGGTTTAGTGTTGAATCTTCTTGTCTCCTTTCAGCTGCCAAGTAAATTCAGCCCAGACGTTGTCCTGAACCAGCTGAGGTACTCTGGAATGTTGGAGACTGTGAAGATCCGGAGAGCCGGGTACCCTGTCCGCAGACAATACCAGGATTTCATGGCCAGGTGATGTCACCATTGGACACAGCTTTTGTGGGCAACACCTCTCACCTTTTATCTTCTGTTGTATTTATTGTTAGTCATTCTGAAGTCTAAAAGTCTTTTACATGAATGCATTCTCTGCATTAAGGTATAAAAACACCCCTTTATCTTTTCTAACAACCTTCCAACCCAAACACGTTACTGGCTCCTGCCACCGCTCCAGCTCTATGCTGCAGCACACTCCCCTCACTTCCTGCTTTCAAAGGTTGCTCCGAGGGCAGTGAAGTCATAGGCTCCTGCAGCTGTCAGTCAAATTCCTGTGAGGAGGGAGTGGGGGTGTGGCTCATGGGCACTGTGTGTGTCTATGGATGCACACATTCTGGCTTGGGAGCACACACACACATACACAAATACGCACACACGTGCCTCCTTTTGTATTAAGCTTTTAAGGAGGCACTCGAAGGGAATGAGACCTTTCTGTGCAATTTGATTGCACAGAACAGATAAGTATAATCTCTATATTTATTTTCTAAATTAGATTATAGTATGTCACTTTAAGCCCTATTTATGGGCCATTCACATTGTTGCGTTACCCATTTTTTCTGCATTGAAAAAAAGTTGCAGCAAAATGTTTGTAAACCCTACAAATGAACTTCTCTTATTTGCTCCCTTTTAGTTTAAATATCCCATTGAATGACTTTTATTGAGATCTGATATTATAATTGCAAAGAAGTACCTGTTGTTTGTGCCATAAATCCAATGAGCTCCTAAATTCATCTGCTACATTAACTGCATTCTTTTTTGGTATTTGATCACCACTGGGTTTTTCATTATATAAAACAAAAAAAGACCGAAAATTTCAAAAATAATTTTTTATTTCTGCTATTAAACATCTCCAATATAAAAAAAAAAATCTTCATACAATTAGGCCAAAATGTATTCTGCTACATGTCTCTGGTAAAGAAAAAAAAAATCCAATAAGTGTATGTGGATTGGTTTGCAATGAAAGTTTTTTTTTTTTTTTTTTTTTAGTACATGCAAACTACGGTATGTATATGTTTTTTTTTTTTTTTATACTACTAATGGCGGTGATCAGCTACTTATAGTGGGACTGTGATTGTGCGACGGGGCAATCTGACACTGACCCTGGGTGGTAACTGACTACCTGCCATTGACATCACCTGTGACATTCATACTGTGATCAGTGATAATACTATACACTGTCACTGTACTAATGACACTGGCTGGGAAGGGGTTAACATATCAGGTACTCAAGGGGTAAATGTGTGCCTAATGTGTGTATTATGTGCTGCTTTTTAATATCCTTGTTTTATCTCCCTGTTTTTCAGAGAGGAGAAACAGAGAGATTGTTCCGTCTGTAGTGAGCCCTGTGTTTATTGGACTCGGCTAATCAGCAGGTCCCGGCCATGAATCATTGGCTGGACCTGCTTACTAACTCCCGCTGTATATAATTACAGCAAGAGTTGGCCGGGGGGGTGCACGCATTCTGTACCCGGAAGGGGCCAGTGACGTACTGTCCACAGTACATTGCTGGTGGGCGGTCTGGAAGCAGTTGAAATCTCAAGCAGCAGTATCAGCCTTGCTAAATTTACTGTTGTGGATTACAGAACACTTCTATAGTCTTAACACGCTTCCAATAATGGGGGGGGGGGCAACACCGTTCCTCCATAAATATCGAACAGTATGTGAGTGTTGTCACCCTAGGATATGAAGTGTTACTGGCAGGATCAACAGGTTAAAATAAAGGAAAAAAAATTAAAAAGAAAACTAATGCAGCCACCTCATCTAAAGACTGGAAAGCTGCAGTATATTATGTTCTTCTTATTGGATTTAGATACACTTAAAGGCAGCCCATCCATTTAGAAGGGGCTGCCAACATACCCTCCCATATGGAAGAAAAATATATTTCAATAAAAAAAAAAAAAAAAAAAAATATATATATATATATATATATATATATATATATATATATAATGTTGAAATGTGTTTTTATTACAAGATATATGAAAAATATTTTTAACAATAAATTTTACTGTATGTATTTAAAAATACAAATCTACATTTGTGGAATGCATTTACAAATATATGTAAAAATATATGTTATAATTACTTCTTTTATATGTTAGAAAAAAATGAATATATTTTAAAAATATATATTTTGAAAAACATATATTTTTTAAATATATTCTGCAGGTTTTTTTTAACATAAAAAAAAAGTCATTTTAACATATATTTTTACATATATTTGTAAATGCATGGCAAAAATGTAGATTTGTATTTTTAAAGACATACAGTATATTTGAAATGTATTTTTAAATATATTTTTCATATAAATATATATTGAAAATAGCTAAAATTTTTGTATTTCAAATATATGGCAATATGTTTGGGAAGAATATTTTTAAAATATATTTCAAATATGTTTTTCTTCTATGTGGGTTGATGCACAAAAAAACTTGCCTGTGTTATTTTTGACAAAATGACACACCTCAATGCGTTGCATGGCTCTTGTGCATTTTTGTTTACTATAGATGTAGATTGGTGTGCTGTTCAGAATGAATGGCATTGCTCTGCAATTCACATGGACCCATGCGTTCACAGGCAGTAAAATGCAGCAGTGTGAATACACCCTAATCCCATCTGAAAGAAATGTCTCCATTACTCAGAGCAGCCAATTGGATATTTCCATCTACTATATTATTCTTAGTACAGTTCTCTTTGAAATGGATAGAAACATAGGGCTGCTGTTGCTTACTTGTGCTTAAAGGAGCATGCCCCAGGCTTGCCATGTTGATCCTTCCTTCAGTATGCAGAGTCACTGGCCAAGAACATGCACCTAGGCAGTAAGTGTTAGAAGACTTCATCAGGGGCGGACTGACAACTCATGGGGCCCCCGGGCAATAGAGGCCCCTGTGTCCTTGCCCAAACTCAAAAAACCTATGAAAAAGGTACCAGGGGCATCTCATGGGGCCCCCTACTGACCCTGGGCCCTCGGGCAGTGCCTGAGTTTCCAAATGGTCAGTCTGCCCCTGGACTTGATATAAATATTATTCTGATTCAGTGACACATTTTCTGTCCCCTGAAGTAGCACTGAATTATTGGTAGTCAATAATGTAGTAGCAGTGTTTGAATAAAGTGTCTGGATTCTGAGCTGGCACCTGTCTACACACCAAAGAATTTCCAGAGTTTCCTTGGTTTGTATCCCAAAATGGATCTGGGGATGATGCACCACACCATGAGTTGACAGTTCAGATACAAAAATATTCCAATGTGAGATCAAATAGAAGACTTCAAATAGCCAATATATTTGGGGTGCTTCAACTAATTCCACATATTTTGTGTCCATTGTCCACATTATTTTCCCATCTTTAAGCTCTGATCAAGGAGGGCAAGTTCTGGCCACCGAAATGTGATGGTCCTTTTAGAAAGTCTTCTATTAAACTTCCATTGGAATATACAGTTTTGTATCTGGACTATTGACTTGTAGAGTGGAGCTTCAACCCCATATGTATTTCACTTTTTTACTTCTACCTGTGAGATAATAGAGATGTCCACTGTCTTTCCGTGCTGGTGACAGCAGAGTGTGATTAGTACAGCGTTTTTTCAACCTCTTAAAAATGGAGGAACCCTTGAAATAGCTGTCAGGTCTCAGAGAACCCCTGCTAATAAATACTATATCTACAGCTAACATGTTCCTTGTATTTGTGGTCATTGGGAGGAATGCCCCACCTACAGATGGCTAAAAAAGATCATTGTTTTCAGTAGGACCTTATCTGAAAGGCAGAAATTGCTTCTTGTTCAAGGAACCCCTAGCAAACTCTGCAACAACGTAGGGTTTCTTGGAACCCTAGTTCAGAAGGGCTGGATTAGAAGGTTCTAATAACTATCTGCTATATACAAAACTTAAAAAAAATGCATTGATATTTTGGTAATCATAAAAGCTCATACTCTGATATATAATATGCAAGATTTTAGATTCACTGAGGTTTTTTTTTTTCTTAGCATTGAAAGCAGAATTGGTCAGTGGAGGAACCTATAAAAGTCCTTTATACAATTGGATAGGAAACTGCCTAAACTACACTATAAAAATATCAGATTGAATGGGGTTGGGTACTAAAGCCTTCCCGGCTGGCAGAACACAATGATTACTACTAGTGACTATACCTGCTGGCAGTTATCGAATGTACAAAAAACCGGACGAATTTCGATCCATGTATGACTGGCTTTAGGATAACTTCTGTTTTTTTCTGTGCACTGCACTTATTTAGTGATTATCTTGTTACAGGTATAAGATGCTGCTGAGCAACATCAAAGGTACAGATGACATGAAGGGAAGGTGTGCTGCCGTCCTTCAGACTTTCGATGCCTCCAAGAAAGATTGGCAGCTTGGCAAGACCAAGGTAAAGGACCAGTTTTAAGAAGCCATTTTCCATATTGTACTTTTTCTGCATGCAGGGTGTCATCATTCTACCTGATATTGGTAATGGTTTCTCTACACCAAACTGGTCAAAACGTGGCTTTCTGGAGCTGGTCTGTGTCAGGGCACAGTTATGCTGGAATAGAACATGGCCTTTTCCAAATTGTTGTCATAAGGTGGTCTTTGTATGCTGTTGCATTAACAATACCTTTGATTGGGAACACCTGAAATTAATCAATTGTGGGCAGCACAGTGGCTAAGTGCCACTTATGCCTGGCAGTACTAGGGTTGTTGGTTTGAATCCCAGCCACAGCACCACCTGCCTGGAGTTTGCATGTTCTCCCTGTGTCTGCGTGGTTTCTTCCGGGTACTCCGGTTTCCTCCCACACTCCAAAGACATGCTGGACGGTTAATCGGATCCTGTCTAAATTGGCCCTAGTATGTGTGTGTATGAATGCAAGTTAGGGACCTTAGATTGTACGCCCCCTGAGGGATAGGGACTGATGTGAATGTACAATATATATGTAAAGCGCTGTGTAAATTGATGGCGTTATATAAGTACCTGAAATAAATAAATAAATTGGAGGGGTGTAAATATACTTTTTGGCCTGCGTAGATGTAATGGGTGCCCTGAAGTTCTGACTTCAATTGGCTACATGCATGTTCCAGGGCAGTAACTCCTTGCCAGAGACTGCAAGGAAACTAGTATTTCCAGGAGAGGTCAGCAATAGCATTTACAATCTTCCAATCTACCCTACATTTAGGAGGCCTTTCCAAAGATCATGATTGGTTTCTATGCAAAGCTGCACCAGATTTTGCACTCTCCAGTGTTAGTAAATCAACCCCATTGTGAATTGCAACCAAGCACACCTTAAGGTAGAGTTTAATGACCCCAGCCCCCCACAGTGTACATACTGTTTGTTTGGGCTTGGTTTGTCAGTTAAAATAAAAGGGTTGAGCCCACAATTGATCCATGAAGTTTGTTCAAAGAGGATCCTTAATGAATGTGCTGCCCTAAAGTGACACACAAGCCCATTGCTTTCATTACACTCAATGGTATTCTCCAGACTGGCTGCAACAATTGCCCTTCCCCTGATTGATGTTACACTAACAGCACAAAATCCCCAATCCAGTGGCGTCCCTATGTGGGTGCGGGGGGTGCGTGCCGCATCGGGTGACACCTATCTCACGGGTGACACCAAAAAGTAAAGCTGATGATCCCCGCAAGATGGATAGGATCTGCGGTAACACGCGGTGTCACCCCTCCAGAGGTGGGAGGTCCCTGTCGTGCACACACAGCCTGGCTCTTCCCCTCCCTGTGTTCCTGTCGCAGCCCCTGGACCGGTGTGGCAAGACCAGTTAACCCCGTATAGGTTGAAAGCCGACGATCCCCACATGATGGATCGGATCTGCGGATGGGGGAGCATAATGGGTTGGAGTCCGATCCATTATGCTCCCCAATCCGCAGATCCGATCCATCTTGCGGGGATCGTCGGCTTTCAACCTATACGGGGTTAAATGATCTTGCAACACCGGTCCGGGGATGCAACGGGGACACAGGGAGGGGAAGAGCCAGGCTGTGTGTGCACGACAGGCACCGCCCACCTCTGGAGAGGTGACACCACGTGTTACCGCACCGGGTGACACAAACCCTAGGGACGCCCCTGCCCCAATGTATCTCAACTTAATGAGGCCTGTACCTCTCCATGTTGAATAGCACATATGACCCACCCATCAGTTATTGCTAGCTTGGTGATTTTATACCAAACTCTTGTTTCTTTATTGAAGCCCTTCTTTTCACACTATGACTATGTGACTGTATGCGATGCATTTGATGGCCAACTGTGGTGGCATCCCTCTTTATTATCTTCAATAAAATAAAAATATTGAGGAAAAAATGCAGAAAATTATTTCCAATACTTACCATCATTTTCCTTTCCTGTGTACATCTTATGACCGGATACCACAGGCCAGCTCTGCCTCTGACCCCAATAGGACCACCTAGCTAGCTAATAAAAAAAGAGAGAATCCCTACCTAGCATTCTATATATAGTTCAGTGACAGGATACTGGGAGGAAAACGAAACTGTCATGGGGTGCAGGAAAGGAAAATTACGGCAAGTGCTGGAAACAATTTTCTGTATTCCTGACACTCCTCATGACAGCATATCATAGGATGTAACTAGCAAATGGAAAGAAGGGAAGAAAGAAAACCACATCCACTCGATTGATGCCATGGTATGTTGTCATGAAATCCCTAGGAAAGGTGAGATGAGAGAGAGCAAGGAACATCATGTGAGCTATCTGCCATAAAACAAATGCCAGTTTATTCCATTAAAGTGGAACTCTAGTCAGATAATTAAGTCCTGCTAGATCACTTCCGGCTGGCCCCATTTGCAGGTATAGCTATGTAAAACATTAAAACAAGTGCCTACACTGTTTAACCACTTCCCGACCGGCCGTTGCATATAAACGGCCTAACGGTGGCACTGCAGGGTCGGGTGGCCATTTATAAATGGCCTCCCCGCACCCGGCTTGTGTGCGCTCCCTGGGAGCGCGCGCAGCACCGCGATCCGGTGCCCGCTGTGTCCTCCAGACACAGTGAAACACCGATCGTCGGACGGGACCTCTGTACGAGGTCCCGATCATGTGATCACTGATTGGCCAATCAGTGATCAAATGCAAAGTAGTAAGCAAGATGTTACTTGTGACATCATTGCTTACTATGTGTGAAATCTGTGAATGATCACAGAGGTCACATGGTACAAGGCTATTCACAACAGCCTTGTACCATGTGACAAGCTGGGACCAATCACAGCTCACTCAGTACTTCTAAATGAGTGCAAGAATGCAGACAGAGAGAAAGAGAAATTATTGCTTTTATATCCTATATGGGTATAAAAGCAATCAGTGTAGAAAAAAAAAAATCCTCATCACCCCCCACAAGTAGTACAGTGTACTAATATAAAAAAAAAATAAAATAAAAATGTAAAATACATTTTTAAAAAATTATAATTTTTGGTTATAAACGTATTTGGATTTTTTTTTTTTTTTTACTAAAAAGATAACAGAATAAATTTTGGCCAAGATTTATGATGAAATATTATTTATTTGCAAACTTTTATAAAAAAAACACTTTTTTTCAAAATTTTTGGACATTTTCATTTACATAAAAAAATAAAAATCCCAGCGGTGAATAAATACCACCAAAATAAAGCTTTATCTGTCTCAAAAAAATGGTAAAAAATTCATTTGGATACAGTGTTGCATGACCACGCAATTGTCATTCAAAGTGTGATAGCGCTGAAAGCTGAAAATTGCCCTGGTCAGGAAGGGGTAAAAGTGTCCGGTCTGGAACTGGTTAAAAGACAGTAATTCACGGTCTCACCCTGCTCTGCACATGCTCAGTTGCTCTCTATTTTTAATCCTAAAGATTTACTGCTGCTCAGGGCTCTGGGCTTTAGCAAAATGGCAGCATCCAGCATAGTTATATAGTTATTCTGGCTAAAAAAAGACAAAAGTCCATCCAGTTCAACCATTATATAAAAAAAAATGTTATAGTCCTATACCCACAGTTGATCCAGAGGAAAGCAAAAAAACCCAGCAAAGCACGATCCATTATGCTCCTGCAGGGAACAAAAATTCCTTCCTGATCCCCCGAGAGGCAAACGGACATTCCCTGGATCGACTTTACCTATAAATGTTAGTATCGGGCAGACTGACCATTTGGAAACTCGGGCACTGCCAGAAGGCCCGGGGTCAGTAGGGGGCCCCATGAGATGCCCCTGTTACCTTTTTCCTAGGCTTTTTTGAGTTTGGGCAAGGACACAGGGGCCCCATGATCCCCTATTGCCCGGGGGCCCCATGTGTTGTCAGTCCACCCCTTGTTAGTATCCATTTATATTCTTTGTATCTAAGAAATAATCCAGGTTTTTTTTAATGCAATCCACTGAGCTGGCCAGAACCAACTCTTGAGGGAGTCTATTCCACATTTTCACAGCTCTCACTGTGAAGAAACCTTTCCGTGTTTGGAGATTACATTTCTTTTCCTCCAGACGTAAAGAGCGCCCCCTTGTCCTCTGTGATGACCTCAGGGGGAATAACTACATCTAGTTCACTATATGAGCCACTGATGTATTTATACATGTTGAAGAAACAGGAACAATGCTGGGGGCATCTTACAGCACTCACTCTTTTTGGTAGCATAATTATTAAAGTGGCAAGTATGTTCCTTCTAAAGAACATTATTTTATATCGAGTTGTTATGGGTAAAGTTCCACTTCAATAAGTAGGCTTTACCATATGACATGGGTGTCGTCCTCCTTAGGTAGGCTGAACCAGGCTTGGATGTGGTAGGGGCAATCCAGTAAGGTGAAAATGAAGCAAGGACAAAACTAAGAACCCTGTGTAGATCCTACTAGGGGGGTCAGAGGGCAGAGCTGGCCAATGGTATGTTGTATGAAGAATGCCAGGAAAATATATTTATCATGTTGATGAGAAGAAAGGAATAACCAGAGAAGGCAAAATTTAACTAAACTTGGAGTTTCAATGGACTCTACAAAATGCTGCAGAGTAGGATGGAGCCAAACAATTTTTGGAAACCATTTATATTTCAATATTTTTATTAAAAATCTGTAGAAAAAGTATACAAAACTATAGAAAACATCAAAACAATCAAAGTCATGGAATATATAGTTACATTATAATATATCAACCAATAATGTAGTGAGCAATAAACTGGAAGCCCTAATAGGGTGGAAACCATTTATAAATAGAACATAATTCATTTTATGAATTGTTTTTGGGAAACCGTTTAATTAGAACATAATTAATGTTATGAATTAGTTTTTGCAGAAAGTTGCATTTGTGCATTATTCATTATGACCAATGATGGGAAGAATTTTAGAGGGCAATACAGGGCCAGTGAAACTGTGTGTTATCCGTGTAAGCTGCCCAATTCCTATGGAAATATAATGATCAGAAT